AATATATAGAAGGCCTGACTTTCCAAGGAGAGTGCCGGCTTTGAGGGCAAGCACGAATCGAGGGAGAAGGAGAATATCGTGGTGCGAGTGGTCCAGATCGGTGCGGGCAACAAGTTGTTTTTGCTAGTGTCGTCAAAGGGAGAACGGGCCTAGTTGCGATGGGCAGGTGATGTAACAAGGAGAAGCAAAGGTGGAAAAGCAAAGGTAAAACAAGCAGAGCAAGACCAAAGCTATCCTGGCACCGGTGGCGGAGGGGTTACCTTATGGAAGGAGAGTATCAGATGGGAAAAGAAGGAGCAAGCTCTGGGGAAGCAAATAACTTAATATGAAGGGAGCGCGGACGTGATGATGAGAGGACTAGGAGAGACGTCAAAGCCCAGGGCCACCCCAGACACAGACAGACCAGACCCAGATGGGTTGGACAGGACACCGGGACCGTACCGTACCATACACATATTACATGGCCTGGGTTGCGGAAGCAAATTGGATCTAAGATTGGAACGGCGGTGACCATGACATGTCCAGCGCAAAAAAGCAACCAGACGATCCTCCCACTTGTCCGCCGGGGAGGAGGGATTCAGGGAGATGCGGCGGCGAAAGTCCCACGCCGCGAAAAGGGAATCCAACTGCCCGGCATGACGCCTGTGGGGCCTTAGAAGCCCTGTGCCTGATCCAGGGGTGTCCCCCCCAGACGACATTTCGGTGGGCTCTTTTTTCTTTTTTTTTTCTTTGCTGTCTCCATATCGAGGTACATGAGCAGTGGTACATGGGCGCGCGGTCGAGTGTCGGACCGGGGGGAGGGAGAGGGAGAGGGTAGGGGGTGTGAAGGGGGGGAGGGGAGGGGTGTCTTACCCCTGTCAAGATGGCGGTACCAAGGCCTTGAACTTTCGCCTTACAACAGTGGATAGGTCGGCAGAGTACGTAGTTGTGCGTGACGGGACTACATATCTTGGTAGGACATGGGCCGACGTGTAGTATATACGTACTGCTCGGGTAAGCCTTCCGCAGCAGAAGGAAGCAGCTGCTAGTTGTACTGCAGTTGTAGTAATAGCAAAGCACGCAGGGTAGGTAAGGAGAGATGGACCGAGAAGATTTGTGGGAGCGAGCGACTGGGTGAGTGAGTGAGTTGGAGTGCACTCCATACTTACCTACCTAGACCGACATAAACAGAGAGGTACGTAGTTTCAGTACATGGGAAAAGTAGGCAAGGGGTGGTAGACTCGGGGAACGATGGCGCCAGACCGGAAGGCAGGGATCAACAGAGGAAGCAAAGGCAAAGCAAAGGGAGAAATAAATAAAATAAAAATAATAAAAAAAGGTTTCACAAGAGGCAACGAGGCTAACTAAGAAAGGGAGGGTACGAAAGTAGTGTTATTATCATTTTTTTTTCTGGGGCCGGCTCGGAATCGGAGTGTGGGTAGTTGCAGGGCGCAGGAAAGAAAGGAGAGTAAAAAAAAAGAAAGCAAGAAGGCAACGAGAGAAAAGGAAGAAAAAAAAAAGAGTAAAAAAAAATTGGACCAATAGACGAATCAACAGAACAATGGCTGCCATACAGCGTCGTCGATGGCCACCGCGTAGCAGCTACTTGCCCATCACGTACAGTCGCGCAAATGCAAACGCAGCAAGAAGCGCAGCACCAGCAGCGGCAGCACCAGCAGCAGCAGCACCACCACCACGACTTTCTCATGCCTGCGCTGCTCGCTCTGTTTCTCCCACTCGGGGCCGTCTCCTATTCGCTCGTCTATTTGACACCACCAAAACCCATCATCGTCTTTGTTCGGCCCTGGCTTCAAGCGGGATCGGTTTCTTAGGCTACTTGTTCCCCCCTCCTCTTCCCCCGCTAGTCTAGGTATCCGGCTCCTAAGCCCGGGCTCGCAAGGCTCAGACGAACGGACGGGCGGGGACTCCTGCAGAGAAGTCATGTGGGTGCCACAATGCTACTCTCGGCCTTGCCTTGCAAGGGAAGAAGGGAGCGACGAGATGCAGGCTGCTGGTCTTCGTGATGTAAGGCACGGCGGCACAGCAAGGTAGGTAGGTTAGTTAGGTAGGAAACTGCCCAGGTAGCTACTGAGGTAGGTAGTAGCGTACGTACGTACCTACCTAGCGTACATACAAATACCCGTATGACCCAAGATTTTACACCACACCCCCCCGGCACTTGAGTCGCATGGCTTTGCTGCAGCAGGGGGGCGACATTGGATTACATACTCCGTACTGTGGTATACGTAGCATGGAAACGCCAAACCGCCGGCCGGGGGGTGCTGGTCAAACGCTAGTGTCTGCGCAACTGTCGAGAGGCCATGGGGGAAAAACCCAGGCTGTCCCTGTGGCTCGGTAATACATAGACCGCCTCCTCCCTAGCAGAGTGCGAACTGAACCGGCTCCCCGCGCTGCCCGATGTTTATGCGGTGAGCGGCAGCACAACAAGTTGGCTTGGCTACCGTGCCTTTCATTGGGGGACGTCCGCCGGCTTCCATGACGGATCATCCTAAATCTTCTTCCTTCCTTTTCCGCTTGCCCTCGTTGTTGGGTTGAACGACGTCGAGGTGGTGGGTGGCACGCGCATACCCTCCCTGTGCCACGCGGAGCTTATCACGCACCCCTCCCCTCAAGACCTTGCATCAGAGCGCCGAGGAATAATAGCATCTAAGTAACAATGCCGGCCGATAGAGCCACATCGTCTCGTCCCTTCCATCTTCGCTTTCGTGAGGCGGTGTATTCAAAGACAAGGGCTGCCGAGCCGCTCTCCCCGCGCGGGCACCGACAGCTGTTGCACCACACAATCGGCCTGCAATCGTTAGAAACAAGATACCGTTGCCGTGGCGGATGCCGTTCCCGCTGCCGCTGCCGCTGCCGCTGCCGCTGCCGCTGGCCGTCGATTCTCGAGCATGTTGGCTGAATCCTTAACCCGCCGCCTTAAGGCCCTGTCTCCCGCGCACCACCCGCCAAGTTAACATGGATATTGTACAGGCTGGTTGAACACTGGACTCGGTGTGTTGATAAAAGCAACGAAAGATTGAGAGAGAGAGAGAGAGAGAGAGAGAGAGAGAGTGTGTGTGTGTGTGTGTGTGTGTGTGTGTGTGTGTGTGTGTCGAGTGAACACCCTATCTGCCTGCATCGGCCGTATGCAGTTGCGGTGATGCGCCCCTCAAACGTCGCACAGCTCTATCGGCCGAGACAAGTTTCCGCCTACCTGTGCCTCCAGGCAAAGTAGGCATCGCATGTGTTGTGACGTCTGAAAATGGCGACCCTCGGGGCTGAAGCTTGCTCAAGCCCTCTGCTTGTTCGTACCGAACGGCCCCAATGTTCGGTTGGTTGTATGCGCACTACAGAGTACCTACCCATAACATGACGGCTTCCGATTGGAATGGCAACGACAGACCTTTTGTCCACCCCCGAATGCCCCCTTGCAGACGGTGTAGGGTCCGGTCAGTAAGGCGAACGGATACCCAAAGAAAGGGGCTCAGGCAGGTCGATGCAAGCCCAACCTCAAATTCCCATCAATCCTTCTAGTCATTCCCCTCCGTCAAAGAGTCATATCGTGACATGTCGACATCTTACTTGCGTACACCTGGTCACTTGACCCTGTATCTTACTCCGCATGACGAGGGCTGTTGCGTTGGCAAACAGTCAGCCTGTTTGCTTGCCGTCCGTCTTGCTTGCACGACGACCATTGCCGTTACCCTGGCTTCCTTTACCCAGCAGGCACTTTCGCGTCCTGGGTTGTAGCCCACTCGACCAAGATGCCGGCGCCTGGAGGAGGCTGAGTCGCTGCCGCCTTCTCAGCGACTGGTTAACGTTGTTCTGGCGTAGTATACTGCAGTCGTTGGCGGTCCCACGCAGCATGGGGCAGCCTGAAATAACGCTGGTGTTACCTTGATCAACAGCGAATGTGGGTAATGGGGATGAACCAACCGACTGGGCGGCCTGCAACATGCAGTGGGTAAGGCCGCAGTGTTGGCCTTCTCCAGAGATGACCATCGTGGCGGACACGACAAATGAGGTGGCCGGGGGGTCGTCATGAGCTGAAATGTCTTTCTTTCCTTTGGCAAACCTACGATCCCGGTCCGCCGGCCGTCATTTCTCTGACGAAATCCGGAGAGTGTACAAAGGTACAGATAGCCCGATCATCACATATGACACAAATGACAGTGTGAGGCGCGAAGCCATTCAGCCGTCGTTTCGGGTACCTGCTGCGGTTCGCCTCACTGTCCTTATTGATTGCCTTTCCACATGCTTCCATAGGGGTACTAAGGCTTGTCGTGCCGGCCGGCCTGTCCAGCACTGTATGAAAAAGCGCTCGGACTCAATTTTCATAGCTGGTTAGTAAGACTTCATGTGGGCGTCGCGGAAGACGGACTGTAGGTAACATTCAGCAGGAGCGTGGTGTTTGCCAGCTTGCCACTTTCGAAATTGATAGTCCATCCGACAAGGTCAAGGGGTTGGACGTCAACGCAAAGTTTGAGACGCGCGGGAGACGAAAGGTGTCGGCTGGCGTGGGTGTAGGTAGGCTTGGGCACGAGCTTGGGCACAACGGGCGGTTTCGAGCCGAGTGCCCTGTGTGTTGTGCTCTCGCCGTCCTAGCCTCCCCTCCCTCCCCCCCCTCCACCGCCTGGTACCGGTGTCTTTCATCGTTGAGCCCAGAACCGAGGTCTACCCCAGTTTACAAAACATAAAGGGAGATGGGTTGGCGTGGGCCGGGTCCCTGTCCAAAACCATGTGGCATGGCCATATCCACGTAATATGGCTCCGAAAAATCTTCCTTGGTCAGCGTGTCTGGTGTCTCTGCCCACCACGGAAGGTCGGTAACACCCTCGGTGAAGAGCCTCATGGGTTGGCCATACTGTCTGACAAAAAGGTCATACATAATCCCCCGCAATCCGTGAGTGCACTGTCGGCCGGCGTTGGGTGCATGCGTGCAAGCCATGTCAGCCAAAAACTCTATCGCTCGAATCCAGCCCAGAATAAATAAATAAAATACAAACAAAAACAGAGTTTGCCATTATTGGTCGCTGATGACAAGACGGAGGCATGCAGGAGTCGATTGTCATTTAGGTACTCCCTTCCCGAGCGTGGCCGGATAGCATCCGCGCACTCTCGACGTTGGCGGACCTGGTTGTAACTTGGTCTTTCATGGTCATAGCTTTTGTCTGCGACCGCCGACCGGCAACGTGCGATTTTCGAGTCTCGTCGACCGCCGAAGACGAAAAGAAAGCTGCACTCTGAGGCGAGAGAGTGCATGCCCCAACCCCCCAGTTGGCCCGCAAAACGAAATGGCGGTGATCCCTCCCCGGCTAATCACAATCAGGGAAATTGGCTTTCGTTTCTGGACCAGGTCAGGGGGTACCCAGTATCCTATCCTGCCATGCGTCCAAGCGACCCCATACATACAACCGTTCCTCTGGGCCCTGATCGGGTGAGTGCCGGAACCGGTGCCGAAACGCCAGGTAGATTGTTCGCAGAGGGAACCAAAGTGGAAGTACCCTCATGTAGCCATTTGCTCCGGGGCAACTCGCGGGTCAGGTCTTCCGTTGCCGCAGCACTTGTCTGTCCACCGTCGAATGTCATCGAGGTCTCCAGAGCAAGCAAGCAAGCCCAAAAGCCAGCAGAGAAGGTTCGGGAGATGCATTCGAATCCTCTCCCGCCGCATCTGGCAGCTAGAGGGTCTCCGATGCTGAGAAGGAAAAACTGAAGCGCGACACTGCTGCATCTCGTCCTGTATCTCCGCAACAATAGGCTATCGATTCATGACGCACCTTGAAGCCTTGGTCATGGAGGTTTCGCGCCACGGAAGCGGGATCATCATGTGTATATGCATGTCATGCAGGCGGATTTCCAACTAGACCATACGAGTCCAGTAGGTATGGTATATTGATGGTTTTCCGCCATAGCTCTGTCGTCAATGTGCTGGCGATGTCGCAAGAACTCTTGGGCGATGCTTTGTCTGCATGCAGCAGAAGACAGACGACTTAGGGTACGACACCGGTACATTGAGCTTTGTGTTCCCTTGGAGCCGCATTTGCATGGTTTATCGCTATCATCGGCTCCAGCAGAGGTTGTTGTACCGCAGCCCCTGGTTGAAAACCGTAAGGCAGCCGATGCTTCCGGCAGGCCCCGTGGTTCGCGGATGGCAATCGAATAGGCGACCGATCGCCTGCAGCTCAAGCCTCCGCCGTCCATCATGTTCCCAATCGTATGATCCAACGTCTTGTTGTTTGGTTGTCCATTCGCGCCTTATCGTTGTTGTTGTCGTTGTCGCTGCTGACATGTTTGTACCAACTCATGAATACCTTCCGAGGCGCTCGCTTAGTGCAAGCCGGTCCGAGCGGCCAGGGGTGCTGATACAAAGGGATACTCCTCCTCGTTCAGATGCAATGTTCTCTAGACCCGGATGGCCGGATCTCAGGGGCAGCAGAAAGTCTCCTAGCCTTTCGCCACGCGGCGCTTGGCGACCCATTGAAGGGGAGCAGCCGAATGGCTGGGGATGTTGCTCCCAGCTCTTCCCCTAGTCTAAACTAGTCTAGCCGCTTCCGCGCGTGATGAGTAGGTATCCAGAAAAGGGGAAGTATGCTACCGATGGGACGACCGGGTTTGAAATTGTAAACCACATGACCTGTCAACACCAGGAACAGGGCTCGTTAGACAAGGCCGACTAGGGTACGTCCCTGCTTCAAGGGTTGATCATTGAACCTTCACTGCCCCATCGTCGGTTTCAGAAATATTTTCGGGCTTGCCGGGGAGGGGCCCTGATGGCTCCCATTCATGTCCTCATCCTCTGATGCTTCGAATTCTTCTGCGGGTTCTGTCGAGCTTCTCTGCCACTTCCCGATTGAGATGGCTGTGGGTTCCGGATAGGCCCCGTACCAAACGTAAACTAGTTACACCACAGGGGTTGGATGGCGTGGTGGCCTCTTTGAGAGTGCTGAAGGAGACAACGATTGTTTACCGGTATCTACACTAGGTAGATGTTTGGATTGCGACCACGAAGTCCACAAGTCGGCTGTGGCTACCGCATACCCGATAGTTCCACAAGGCTACCAGAGAGAATGACGGCACAAAATGACCCTCACATAGGCACGGGCAGCTTGCCTCGTTCGTGCACAACATGATACGCCCCGGGCGCTGGGCATCAACGTGACGGCGATTTATTTCAACCTTGGACCGTGACCCCGCGCCCGCGGTGGTTTTGATGACGAGGCGACGATGGCAATATTAACGATCAGCGGCCCGACACACTGGAATGTACCCCCCCCCCCCCCCCCCATCTCCTCATAGTACCATCTCGTGCTGGTCCTGAATTCTGGGTTGATGGATACGGGAAGGCCTGGGATCCCAGACTGAGTGGGGGATAGGAGCAGGGGGGTTGCTCCCAGCAGCTGGGTCGATGCGAAGAGCAATTTCAGGGTCAAACATGCCCGTCATTGGCGACCAAATTTCCATCACGGGGGAGGGACGACAGCTTGCCGGACGAATCAAAAGGTTGCGTTTTCTGATGGCGATCAACCCGCGAACGCAGCAGATGCGAGACGACGGTCAATGGGCTCGAGAAGGAGGCGAGAAGCGGTAGCGGAGCTCATACTTTTGTTGCGCCAGCCCACAACAAGAATGAGAATAAAGCCCCACGGGGTGTGGTGTACCATCCGTCTGGTCCCGAGTGGCTGGAAATTGCGGCTGCGTTTTGCCCGTGTGCGAATCGACGTAATCATCAGAAGCCGTGCGTACTATGCGGCGAGGCGGGCGAGCGGGCGGCTACTGCAAGCGTCTGTACTATGCAGTGCATGCTCCCATCCGGGGAGCGATTCTCCAAGGCTCTGACTCCGGATATGGGACTTCGGTGTCTTTGTCGTCGCAGTGTGTGGCCGAGTTGGCCTGTGAGACTGACTGCCTTTTTGTCATTCCTGATATCTCAGTTGCCGTCGATCCAGAATGCCTGTCTCAGCTGTATCGATTGGCAATCGAAACTGCGCAGCGATAAGAGAGGAGGTGCGGGCCGAGTACTTATCATTGGCCGAGAGCAGGACGACGGCTAGAGCAGATATCATATCGGTCTGCACGGTTCTTTAGCCAGTCGTACGTGGCCGAGTTGCAGATGGGATGGCCTGAGTGGGCAAGAGGATTGGCGACGAAGGAAAAAGAAAAGAAAGGAAGTATGGGTTCAAGGGGGGAGATTGGCGGTGGATGCAATGAGCGAGAAATGGTGGGTGGCTGACGGATGCTGGGAATCGCTGCATTGCTTTTTTCCAATCTGGTCGCTCCTTATTTCCTCTTCCTCGTGGTCGACAACTTCCTTTTGCGATCCTCCACAGAACCCACCCCAGTCGAGCTTTCCGTTCTTTGCTGGCTAGCACGCCGGGGCTGCAGTTGAGGATTTCCTGCTCCCATCTGAGCCGCAGTCGTCGATCCGATATGCATCTTCATGGATTGCGCAGCCCAGGTGCAATCGGTGAGAAAACGACTGAGGCAAGGAGAGAGGATGTGCCCAAAACACCATGCGGATTGATTTAGCGTACGCACGTAAATTCCTCGGTCGATCTGCCTGTGCTCACCTGTAAGTTTCTTATTGTGGGCAGAGAACCATGCGGCGGGTGAGGACGCAACAACGGAACATGCCATTCACTACCCAGGTGCCTGACTAGGTACCTTGTCTAGGTAGGTAGGTAGTCATCAGCGCAACTGAATCGCGATTTTGTCGGGTGCAGATGTGCCTCAGGCCTGCGGAAGTAGAAAAAGAAATGAGCAAACTGGCGACGCCGCCGGAAGCAAAGCTGGGAAGCCGCATCCATGCCTACCTACCGTAGACACTCGCGTGATTGGGACAAAGCTAAGGAGCCCGCTAACGGCAAGGAGTATCGCGGGCCGCTGTAAGGAGTATAGTGTGCTGGCAAAAACAGGGATCTGTATATATCTGTTTTCTTACGTAACAGTTGTATTACTACTAACGGCAGGCTGGCTAGTGGGAAACAGAGGGTGGAAAGGATGACCGCCTTCTATGTTAGGACTAGTGTCGCCGATATCTACTAGCTGTTATAGGATATTTGCTAGCCATATCTGGCTAGCGGGCTTCCTAGCTTTGTCCCAATCTCGCGAGTGTCTACGGTAGTACGTATAGTTACTAGACAGGTGTACCTACTTAGGTAGGTAGTGTATCTCAGACATGGGGTAAACGGGGTTCAGGGAAGGCAAGCACGTAATTAAATGATGTACGAATTCACCGTAAAAACGATATATACTCACTAGTAGGTATTGAGTATCCGAATTCGTAAGTTCCTGCGTAGGTAATCCTTACTCGGACAAGATGCCTGCCTGCCTTATCTCTATTCACTGCCAACATTCCTTCCTTTTGGTGGTTTGAGCCCTTGGGAAAGCGGATTCGATTCAAATTCGACATAGCTGATCCCGGCAGTCGTCCCATTCACCTACTCTGAGCAAAAACCTCTTACTCTTCCTGACCTAAATTGCTCGGCAAGTATCAGTGAACTGAGACTTGCTCCTGTGAGATCCGTTCAAGACCCTGCACCTGTCATGTCAAGGACAAAATTATTTGCGCTTAATCATATGATCAGTCCTTCCTTTTTGTGGCTGTATTCCCTGCCCGTCGCCCCATACCGCCCTCCGACCATCGCCCAGATACTTGGCCTCTATCTACTTGCATCGCCTGCGCTTAACCCGGTGTGATGATGCTTGGTCCTGTGCATCGAGAACCATCAACCGACCCAGTTATTGTTCTCATCTCTCCTCGTCATGTCTCGGCTGCTAGCTAACCAATCTCTAGGTCGACATACGGTGTGTCTAGATCCACCGAACCATTCACAGCACCAAACGGCTGATGATCAACCGTATAACGCACCGAGTTGCATCTGATGTGCTGATCTCCCACTCTCAACGGACAAGCTAAGCGGTTCGTCTCTTAACTCGGCCATATGCCATGCACCTCATCCGCGAAGCGAAGTTGCAGTACCGGTATTCCTGTACTTGCTCTCAGCGACCGCCAATATACACTACATGACGAGTATGGTTGTCTGGCCATCATTACGACTCTCCTTCGCGACTCGTCTGCTGGCAACTGTCACGCCACCTCTAGTTTACACCGCCGAGACCCTGTCGCCCGGCGGTATGCTTCATGTCCATCAGCGCCGAGTTAAATGTACGAGAGCGACGCTAGGGGAACGGCTTGCAGTCAAATGAAGGCGACCTGCAAGATCCCTCAGACCCTTGACCGGTATCCACCAGGCGCTTTCCTCGATCAACAACGTCACCGAAGATGTGTACCCTTTCGCACGAAACCACGTCGTTCCACTTCTTGACCGGATGCCTCAACACGTCTTCATGTTGCTTCTAAAGACGCACACGCGTGCATTCTTTCGTCGCCTACTTATGCATCAGCCCGATTCGGGGCTTGGCAAACACTCTACCACAGTTCTGCCAGCATGCCGCTGATTGATCCATCAATGGCTATTCTTTTGTTGCACAGGTTTAGACACATGATCCCGACACGGGAGGCAAGGGCGACGTTACGCGCCAGTATTCCGCTAATTCTCGCAAACGGTTCGATGCCTCTGCTTCTATCCAACCATCTTCCGCCAAAAACTAGCCCTCGCCGTCTGCCAGCATTGCCTTGCTCTATCGCCTAGCCTCTTACTCCTCTGTTGGCATTAGTATGACACATTGATTGACCCCCGGCTCAGTGTCGTAAATTCCATACACGCTGAATCGCTATGTGCTCTCAAGACGAGGCGTGTTATGGATACCATGTCGGCTTCTCGCGCCTACAATGAACCAGTGGATCTATACGTGCGACGATATAGTCTCCAATTCAAGGACAGTAACACAAGTCAACATAGAAACAAGTTGGCTGCATTGGATTAGGCTGCAGCAAACTGATACTCGAGTGTTTTCTCTCTTCAGACTTAGCTAACAGACTGGGGCTACTGCCCATATTCTCCGCTTATCAATGGCCCTAGCCCTGGAGCCCTTGCGCCCCGGGGCACCTGGAGAAAGTCTGCTGTCCATATTCCTGAGAAACGCCAGTTGCATCAACGACCAGAGCTCGACTTGTAACACTCGTTAGAGGATCCCCGGTGGCACAATTGGCTAGCGCGTCAGACTGTTAATCTGGAGGTTCGTGGTTCGAGCCCACGCCGGGGAGAGAATGTGGTTAAAATCCACGGTACAGAGTACAGCACCATACTTTTGGTGCTTGTCCTGATTCATTGGCGAGTTTGTTCTTCTTCTTTTTATTTTTTTCTTTTTTTTACGGGATACATAGATAGATAGACACTCTTCTTCCATGAGCGAGGACGACCAAGAGGCATAATAAATATGGATAGATACTCTTGCCCATTCGCGGTTCTGGCAATCGACCCGCCGGCCCGCCCCCTAGCACCATGATCCACCTTTGAGGCAACGACAGACAAAACATTGCTGCGCCTAATGCTCTTGGCTATCAGCGTAGGGCATCAACAGGACGCGGGAACACATGATATATCGTCCGTGAGACAGTCAAATCAGCCAATTGGTGACGCTGGCTGTGGTTCATTTTATTTAGTTGTGACAACTCTGCCTCCCAGTGTCATGCTTGAACGAAACGCGGAAAACCAAGTCGTGACATGATCGCGAGTGTCATTCGATCACAGCAACTCAAATCATCTCCTTGTGGCGGTTGTCAGACTTTCCTCTAACGATCTTCAAGGATACCGCCCCCCCAAGGAAGAAATAGCCTTAGGCACGGATCACAACAAACTCCCGTCGTCTGGGCAATAAAATACTCACCGACGGCCATGACAACTCACCGACTCGGTAAACTGTTATGCTGCCAGCTGATCTGGGCAACAAACATGCTCAGTAGCCTTGAAAAGGGGGCAGTTCTCCGCCACAATATCGCTAGACCGAAAGCCTCAAAAGCTCGACGCCGGCGGGCTTGGGGTTCCTACGCGACCCCTGATATATTTCTCTCATAGTCGATATGTGATACATCACCTACCAACGCGTTACAGCCCTGTAGATCTCTCACCGCCTGCAATAGCACTTGCTCTGTTTCTCGAGGTGGGAAAGCTGCAAGGATAGCAAGATGAGCATGGGAGTGAATATCCCGGCTTCCCTTCCCCAGTGCGGTATTCCCGACCTTTGAATACCCCAGCAGAGTTTTGGTGCCCATCACATGTGTCGCTTGAGACCCCAGTGTTCCTGAAGCAGGCATTCTTCAAGGCTGTTACGACCCTCCAGGGGTGTTCTCACGTCACACAGCTTCAGGCGTACGGGTTGCGGTGCCACAAATTACAATCCTGGCAGGCGACAGGCTCTCTTGCTCGCCTCGTCTTCCCTCTATTATCGTCTACTGTCATTTAGATCTCCTTGGGAGCCCAGCTCCACCGGCTAGCTTCCGTCGGTCAGGCTGTCCAGTGGTCGACATGGGCCCCGGGACATCCGGAAATCAGGTCACGATACGCTGACATCATGGTCGTTAGATGTACGAGGCCACCAAGGGCTCATTATAGACATCATGGCCTTTGGTAAATTGCCTTACACCGCTGGTTCAGTAAAGCGTGGATTACACTCAGTTCTAGTGGCCGTGAGCCTCCAGAGTGACGACAACGTTGCGATTCTGACTGTGGAGCAACCCACTTGTTGACTCACCATACTTTGGCACATGGTAGAAGTTGGTCTGTCTGGGTCGGAAACCTTGCCGGGCCGAACCAAAGAGCCTCCTGGCCGCACCTAGCAAGTTTGGGGTTAAGCGGATCGAGAGCTCTGTGCGGACCGGAAGTTCCTTCATCTATTCTAGAATAAGGAAGCCTCGTAGAACAGCATGGAACTTTGAGGCTTTGGCTAGACGTACTCCTCACCTCATCCATCAACCGCACCGCAACGCCTGGGACACGTCAGAACAGGGCTGACGTGTACGCCCGGTTCTTGCTATTTACAAAACCTGCTACGGCAAAAAGGATGCTGTGTAATGGCATTTTCAACATGCATTCGTGGAACGGACCTGCTTGATGACTGAAAAGTACGGCATGGGTATGTGTGCGCGGTAACCGTTGTCTTGCCAGTCCAATCCCTTGGCGCAAACATGGATTCCCACGAGCCGGGTGTATGTGCCCTCACGCAACTGGGAGGTGGGCGATGATGGAGGGTCATCAAATATTGGAGGGCAAACCCGGACTTCCAGTCGGGCTTCGCCCGGTCCCGTCTTGCCAATTGAACTAGCCTATTTGGCTCGCGGCTCTATGTATTATTGAAAATAGAGAATGCCAATATCTGACGTTGCTGACAGCGCTCTGGATGGCGATGCACTAGCACGAAGGGACTAACTACGTAGCTGCAGTCCGACGAGCCTGGGTCCGGTCGATATCTATGGTTGACCTCTAGTGGACAAGAACGCTCTGGACATATGGTGGATGGAGGGCTGTCAAACTTGACCATGCATCAGTGCTTCCGACCTGTGATACTCTGGAAGCTAGCTGCATATGACCCAGCTCGGATGGACCTACGATGGCAGGCCTCGATTCTAAAGAAGGCGGGGTGCTGCAGCTCGTGTTGACCGAGACCATATCTGAGTGGCTGGCGTCCACTCGGTGAAGCAAAGCATGGGTTTTGGCCCGGTACACCCCCATCATGTTTAGGATACATCTTGTGTAACGTTGACCGGACTAGATAGGCAACGCACGCAGTGAGAGAGGACTGCTGCAGCGCAAGCGCAAGCAGAACCCTGAGCTTCTGATTGAAGGACATCACAACAGGATGCCCGATGAGTGCGGTGAGTAGACAGACGGATAGAGTGCAGCCGGGCAAGGAGGTCAGGCACCACCCGACCGCCGGTTTCGGACGACATTGGGAGCTGCTGCGGGACACGATATTTGGCATGCCTTGGGACTGTGCAGGGTGAGAGATGATCAACGGCCCAATGACCTGCATTCGTGATGGCGTTGTCTATTCTCACCAGTCAAATGCATGCAAGCTATCGGATGCTGTGTGCAGAGGGAGCACCTATCACGGTGTTCGGGGGAAAAGACCCAGAAGACGTGCTTACAGCTCCATCAAGTGACGAGGAGTAGGCGGCTGGGAGCTCCCGTCCAGCTGTGTGACCTGCGGTTGTGTGGGCCTTGGTCCCGGCTTCCTCTATGCAGCTCCATAATCGCCCGTACCGTGTATCGCACAACAGCCGACACTGTATCCCGGGTTGCGACTTATCACCGAAGGACGGAACGTCTTGTGATGTGTCTTGATGTTGGCGCCGTTTAGCTTGGCCTTTGCTGCTGCATTTTGTGTGACGTGCGGAGGTAAGGGAGAAAAGTACACCGGTAGGTAACTGAGCGACGCAAGGCGACCTTGGCAAGGCGGCATGTTCTCGGGCCATGCTGGTTGCCGTCTCCGATCTGATTTGTCAAAGCCATCGGCTTCCGTCATGTTCCTTCTCGGACGAAGAAGGAATGGCCCAACCAAACAACAACAACAACAACAACCCCATGCCCCATCACTGTTTTCTTCTTTTTCCCATCTCTCCCTGCAACCTCACCCTATCTACCTAGCTACTTAGTACCTAGGTAGCTATCAATCCGCACACCCACCTAGCCACATGCCCTTACGCCGGCCCTACACAACGGGTTATCCGACGCAACGCTGCGCTCCGCTCCGCTCATTTTCCGTCTAGCCCAATTGTGGAGGAGACAACAACGGCCTCCACCCTGATCTCTTCTCTCTATTTTCGTTGGGTTTCATCACCTGCCTACCCACGCACGATCTGCCTACCTAAAGCCACCCATCCGGTGCAAGCCGCGAACCACACACGCGGACCCTCCCTCGCACGCACACAAGCAAACAGCCTACATACAGCATAGGCATCGCAGCACCAGTTCCACCACTCCAACCACCACCGCCACCACCAGTGCGTGGCAGCGCATCGCATCGCATCGCATCGCATCACAAGCTATAGACCGACGCCGACCCGCCAGTAATACAAGACGGGACAAGATGGCCGGCAAGAAGGGAGCAGATAACAGCAAGAAGGCCGCTGGCAACGCCCGCAAAGCCGAAGCAGCTGCCCAAAAGGCCGCCGCCGAGGACGCGAAAAGGGCCGCAGCCGAGGATGCTGAATGGTCAAAGGGCGCCAAGGGCAACGCGAAGAAGTGAGTGCGAGCAAGAATCTGAGGGGGCGGGGGCGGGGGTGATGGCACCATCAATGTCCCACGATGCGTCGCACACAGACACGCATACACTGCCCCGTCGCCACCCTGATCCATCATCCATCACAAATCATGCGAGATAACCGTTGTCCCACGCAAAGAACCGAACCAGGGCCATGGCTGACCACACTCGCGATCGTCCAGGGAGGCGGAAGCCGCCAAAAAGGCAGAAGCAGCTCGCAAGAAGGCCGAGAAGGAGGCCCTCCTAAAAGAGGAGGAGGCCAACACGCCGGGTCGGGCGGGTCCGAAGAACGCCAAGACAGCCGTCAAGAAGACACGCGGGTTAGACCTGTCGCAGCTCGACGACGATCGCAGCGGCGGCTCGCTCGGAGCCCTCAACGCCACGGGTATCGACAACGCGCTCGATGCCCTCTCCCTGACGACTTCCGACGCCGCCAAGGTCGACAGACACCCCGAGCGACGGTTCAAGGCGGCGTACGCGGCCTTTGAGGAGCGTCGCCTCAAGGAGATGGACAACGACGGCACCGGTCAGGGCCTGCGTCTGCAGCAGAGGAAGGACAAGATCAGGAAGGAGTTTGAGAAGAGCCCGGAGAACCCTTTCAACCAAGTGACCGCAAGGTTCGACGCCACCAAGGAGGAGCTGGCCGAAATCAAACAGAAGGAGAAGAGCAAGATCGAGGCCAGACTTGGGAAATAGAGCTGGGCGGACGCGCCCGTCGGCACTGTCCCTCTACTGTTTCACGATGCTCGGTGACACACCTTGCCATGATTGCATGTGTACGTGGCAGAAGGACTACAGGAATGAATAGCAGCACGCATCAGTCACTTGATCAAGCCACATCAACTTTCCGATAGAAAGAGATCATCAGAGCGGAAGCGGCCCCTCCTTTCCCGGTGTTTGGTGTATCGCCGTATCCACTTCCATGAAGCACTCTGGTGTGCACCGCATGAGAATATGGCCGACCCTCCATTAAGGCATGCATGTATCCTGCTGATCTGTCATATCTCCCGTTCATCCTCGTTGTCTCCTTGTTTTCTCCCGCCCGAACCGCCAGCCGGGAGGGTACAATGACCGATACGGCCGAGATGACAACAATTTTTTTGGCGGGGTAGATGTTGTGTGACGTACCTACAAGGTGGGGGTGGTGACTAACACAAAGTGCCTAGGTAGCCTTCGTCATCGATAAGACAAGTCGCTCGTCTTATCGCGATAAGAAATAAATCCGGCAGAATATCTGACCGCCCTTATTGACCGCCTTGCTTCATGCATGAATGATTGCCCTATGCAATCGTCTCATGTCACTTCATCCCATCAGGGCGCATTCCATCTCATCGATTGTTTCTTTACGAATGCCTCACCAAAGTCCAACATGGCGAGTCTCCGCATGGGAAGCATGCCTTCGTTAAGGCGGCAGCGCCTCCTTGCCGAATTGTGAGACTTCCTCTCTACACTCTCCCATTTCCGTGTCCGACCAAACATGTAATTGCTAACCCCGGGATGCTAGCGCCGGCCTGAAGCAGGCGTGTCCGGAGGGTGTGTTTGTGAGCTTAACGCCCGGTGATCCAATGTTGTGGTCTGGCGTCATGTTTGTGAGGCACGGTATGGAATCCTGAAATTCTGCCGCGATGAAATGGGCGACAGGTATTATGGGCATGGCGAGACTGAGACGCTTTTAGGACCCTATGCTACGGCCATCCTCAGATTCCAGATTTCGTTCCCGGACACCTATCCCCGCCTACCGCCACTTGTCACCTTCTCAACAGACATGTTCCACCCCTTGATAACACCATTGACGACGTACATGTACACTACCGACATCCAGGACAATGGCACCGTCAGCGCCACCGACGCCGAGCGCCTGCCGCCTGGCGGGTTCAGCCTGCGACACGGGTTCCCGGCCTGGTTTGGGCGGGGCAGTAGGAGCAACGTTGAAAGCAGACAAGTTAGCGGCCAGCAACAACCGCCTTCGACGCCTGCCAGAGGCGGTCCATCCAGCACCACCACGACACCAAACTCAAAGGCTACGCCCGAAGGAGGCCGGTCGGGGTACCTCGACACCTCGAGGCGGGAGGTTTCGACGTACGAGGTCCTGCGGTATATCCGGAGCACGTTCGACGACGAGAGCGTGCTGAATTCGGTGCCGCTCGAGGCAGCGGGGAATCCTGGTGCGTGGCATGCGTGGAGGACACGACAGCGTCAAGCGGGCAAGACGTTCCCTGGGGGCTCAGCTGCTCAAGAGAAGCAGGAGAAGGAAGCGGAGACTGGCGGTGCTGCCGTGGAAAAGGAAGAAAAACCACCTGTACCTCCTGCGCCCGAGACGAAACCAGCAAGTGGCGGTTTCGTCATCGCGAGGAAGCCCATTGGCGGCGCGGGTGCTGCTGCGGCCCCTAGAAACCCCGGAGAGTGGAACTGGGAAGGCGTGTGGGAAGACAGGGTGCAAAAGAACATTGCAGCCTCTCTATCGGAGGCAGTTCTATACGGCTCGACGCTGGGTGGCGGCGATGACCTGGTGAGTGGCCTTGGGGTTGTCTTTGCCGAAGGGGATGAAATGACGCTAACTGCACTACTAGATTAACTTCCTCCCGATGGACGAAAGCGACGTGGAGTCTGCAAGGGATAACCTGCTGCTGACATTGGAAAGCGGCGCCGCGACCCACCAAGACCTCAGCAGCAGCATGCAGAGCGTGCGTGCGGCGGAGTGACGACCTTGCCCTTCTTGATAGCGACTTCCTCTTATAACCTTATGACTTACATAGCCTTCCCTCTATATTCTTTCTCTTCCGCCGTTGCTGAGCTTGCAACCCATGCCTGTGTAGACATTATTCTATCTTCCTTCCACGTAGCTCTTACAACAACCCTTCAATGCATAGTGATCATCGTTCTAAAAGGAGCCCACTCCAGAGAGTAGAAGACAGCCCTTCTCTTCTCATCATCGTTTCTTCGCATTATGGGCCTCTCGCCGCCTTTGTTTGTAGTCTTGATTGTGCTCGCAACCATCGTGCCTCCCCTGGTCGCAGGGGCTCTTCTAACTCGCTTCGTCTGCCGTAACTTCAGAGACGCTGCCGGCGTTGTCGAGCCCAAGCCCCGACGATGCTGGTTTGGCCTCCGGCGTGTCAGGTCCATCAACAGCAACACCACCGACAGCCTCGCAACCCGCGCCCAGAGCTACGCGGACTCGTGGCAGGACCTGGAGAGCCTGCGCACGCACAGGGACACGCCGACACCGTCGCTTCGTTACTGTACCTGCGAGGAGGTCCCACCAGTCAGGACACCAGTACCTGCGGCCATTCGGTTCCAACCGCAGCCGCCGGAGACATGGCACCCCTCGAGGGCGAGCCGGCTGACGTGGAGCTTCTCACCAACGAGGCGGGACCAGGGCCACCCTCGGAGATCCCGCAGCCGCTTAGGGTCCTCAAAAGATTCGGGCGTAGTCCTGGAGGGCTCGTCGGAAGAGGAACGGAGAGCTCGAGGCGAACGAGCATCGAGACGGATGAGGGTCTAGACAGTGCGACTGAGGCCCCTGATGAGCCCCTTGTGGTGATGAAAACGAGGGGAAATCCAGAGCATAGGCTGGCTCCGGGGTCAACGGAGGTTAATGAAAAGTCAGGCTTCCCCAGAAATATGCCGCGAGCAAGCCGTAAGTTCTGATCTTGCCCTTGAGGGGAGGCTTGCTGATTCAATCTAGGACTGCATGGTTCCGAGAGCATCACCGCATCCACCATGCCCGAGCTGTCGCACGATAGCTTTGGAGAATTGTCTCATCGTCCACACCGTAATCCTCTACCTTGCTTTGGTACAGCTTCCGAACGGAGCTCGGTTCACGACTCACGAATCCTCGTGCCTCGAATTTCTGTCACTCCAGAGGTCGAAGCCGTCGATGACAACACAACATCCATCTGGGCTGCCATCAAGGTTTATGGGCATGCATACCCGCAACATGACGGATCACCTGGTCCGGGCAGATTGGTCGGGGTTCACAAACCATCAGCCAACAAAAGTATGCACTGGGATGCCGAAGGTATGTTTGATGTGGCCTTTGATTTCTCTTGCACTGACGTCCGTCTGTCTAGACCCTTGGAAGTACGGATGTATACATAGTATGAGTATCCAGATCAAGCCAACAGGAAATAACTGCATTCTTGATGTTATCCGGGAAAACCCGATACCAACGTAAGATCTCACTCAGGCGACACTGGGGCGTTCTAACAAGTCCCACAGGACTCTGGGGAACAACGAGATGATACTGCTGCTTGTGCATGTTCTTTTAGATCAGCCTCGCCCTAAAAGTCAAGCAGGTCATGTCCGGCAACGATCAGACGAGCTGATTGAAGATCTGCAATATCAACTGGGAGACTCTCAGTTAGATTATCTTCGGGTTGTTGTCAAATACAACCATTCTGCGTTTCCTCTTCAATCCCGTTCTGAAGCTGTCGATGGCGTTGTTCAGATGGGAACAAAGCTGGAGACTTCGATCAAAGCCATCGTCAAGCATCGCAATTACCAATCGCCGTGGTCACCCTGTCCCACGCCAACCACTAATCCTGTTTTGAGCATCACCTACGACTGCTAGGAGCTAGAGAAAGCCCGGAGCGCCATGCGCCGCATCACTACTCAACCAGTTTTGCCGCATAAGCTGGCCAAGCCAAGATCCAGAATGAACTTGACAACGGAAGATAAGCTGGTGGTCACGCGAACGCCTCCGATTGTTCCCAGGAGGGAAGCCAGCCTCGGATCAGACGTGATGGTTCGACAACCAGCACCACTGCACGGCGGGTGGTCCCAACCTCGAGAATGCTCGGGAACGGGCTGGCGGAATACCTGTGTGGGACAGGGGAAGCGGGTGCCGTCAACTGCAACGTGCGCCGACGAACCGATGGCCAAGGCTGGGACCGGAAACGGGCTCGAGCTTCCGAACCATACGGGCATTCTGAGAAGTCCACGATCAATGGGCCCGGGGCTACTGAGGAGTCTGGGGGCGGACAGTGGCGGTCATGGAGTGGATAGAAGGTCTACGGCTGGAGGTTCACTCCACGTGCAGGGACAGAAGCCTTCCAACCGCTGGAGTTGGACGGGTTGGTTTTCGTGAGAGTTCGTGGCTTCAAGTTTAGTTTTAATCTTTGTCAGCCTGTGGTGATTTATGTGATCGCAGCTTGTCCTCCAGTCTGCAGTCGCAGGGGCGCAAGCTTTCAGTTTTGGAATAATCGATTCATGGCATGATGCTGTTTCAACTTTTTCTTCTTCATTACGGAGTAGCTTCTGCTCCCTTCTATCTTCAAGCATGCTCGTGTTTGTTTGTTGTTTGTTGTTTGCTTTTTATTTTCTTTTTGCCCTGTGGATGCTCTAGGGCTTCTTCACAGCAGCTCATCCCTCCAGGGGATGGAAGTCTGCGCACCCTTACGCTCGACCGTCTTGGCCGCGGCTCGATTGGCGTTTTTGATGGCCGAAGAGATGTCAAAGACCTCGCCCTTGGCCTGCGCGTTGACGGCGGCGACGCAGTAAGAGCCGACAAAGGTGTCGCCGGCGGCAGTGGTGTCGACGACCTTGACCTTCTGTGCCGGAATGAGGTCGGCGGCACCGTCCTGGTTGATGTAGTAGACGCCGCGGCCACCGAGGGTGATGATGACATTGCGGACCTTCTTGGCCATGAACCACTCGCCGACGCGCTTGAGGCCCTCAGGGGTGTCGAGTTCCGACTC